TAGCTGCTAATCCTGGTGTCTCTGTGCTGCACTATTGATGTGCACTAGTTGCTGGACTGGGAGAGCCCTGTCACACTCATGCCCTGTTTGTGTGGGCAGCTGTTCGGCCATTGTGTGAACAGACTGAACCTTGGTCTCATCCAGCATGGTTCTTCTCACATCTTCATGTTCATTACAGTTCAAAACACAACATAGCAACCAAACTCAACCTTTCCCAGTACAGCTGTCCTTTTCAGTCACTATCTGGAGAAATCAAGTAGGAATATCTGGGTCGCACCAAACATATGCTGCTCTGCTTCTCTTCCCCTTTGATGCAAGGAGGTAGGAGCCAAGCATGTAAGGCACGATCCTAGGCATGTTTAGTCCAGAAAAAAGAAAATGCCCCAGCCAGTCATGCTGAACATTGCTGAGGTTTTTTGCCTGAGCATACATAGATTTGCACCCTTGGTTCTGCATCCCTGGTTTGGATGGGCCTTCTGAACCATGGACCACAATGTATAACATGATTTGCTACAAGAATTGTACCATATGCAAACTCCTTGTGATGGACAAACCCCACAACAGGAGCAGCAGCCTCTAGGTATGGGCCAGTCACTAGTCCTAAGCGTATGCCCCTAAATTCTTGTTAAGGCTTTACTCTCTAATACTAACAGTCGGTGCAAGTGAAAAGTCATTTCTCTTTCACTGTAGTTATGGGCAGACTATGGCTCCAAGCTGTGTTACTTAGAGATGTAACTTGAAAAAGTTCCATGGTGGTAGCTAGACATATTTTCTTGTGTGTTAATTTTTATCCCACCTTTTTATCCCATCATTTTCTAATTTCAAATGGGGTTTGGGGTTCAATCAAATCATGATGCCCATAAGTCCCTGAACTCAGAGGATTATGGGCATCTAATGCAGACCAAGAGGAGCAGTTTAGGTAATTGTTGCCTCCCCGGTCCTTCAGTTCTGCATTTTCATTTTTGACTTTTTAGAGACACTGTTTCAGAGAGTATGGGAAGGAAGCTTGAGTGTCTGGTTCCTTCCATTCCTGACTCTTTAAGGCCTATCTAAGGCCACTTTTCTGACCTTGGAGAGCAGCTGGTTTGTGTTTTTTCTGCACCAGCCATGAGGAGAGGAAAGGGGTGGAGCTCCAATCCCCATGTCTAAGGCTGTTTCCAACCTTGAAGCTGGGAATCCTCACCCCTGCAGACAATAACCAGGAGCCTTAGAATCATTGTCTTTATGGATATTTTTATTAGTGATGTGGCTGTTTTATTGCTGCAGCTCCAAAAATGAATTTAATGCCAACAGAATATTTCAATGTCTTACTGCATTTTTATATTGTTAAGGTAATATTACATTGCCACATCTTTATTTCTAAACATGCATTTTGATTGTCACTGTGGCTGGGGCTGGCCAAAAAAGCAGCTCATAAATATTTACATAACCTTGCTATTTCTCTTCTGCAACCCCTTTAACTTGGCCATTCCTCTCACCCTTCCAGCCTTTAGCTATTTTTCTCCTGCTGAGTTTTGACAAGTCAGGCTCCCATGACAACCATGTTGTCACTGTGGAAACTGTTTTGTGGTGGTACCTTAAGACACTTCATCAAATTCTCAAATGTGCCCATGGGTTCAGGAAGTTTGCGGAGCCCTGCCTTCTTAGCCTTTATGAACATTTTGATATCACTACCATATTCTTGTTGTATGTCTTTTCCCCTCTCAGCATCAGTCATGTTACAAAGGTAACAACTGTCAATTTTTCAAGAATGAAAAAAATATTACAAGTCATGTTACTTTTATCACATGCCTGAATACAGCAGGTGTCTTAGAGTCTGAATGATATGCCTTGTTTGAAAAGACATTAACAGCAACAAAGCCTTGAAAATAATAGTGATTTTTCACACCATTTAGGGGACCATTATCCTAAATATACCAATGTCAATGCCTCCATCGATTTCAGTGCACCTTACTTGCAAGTAAATGCATGTAGGATTGCAACCCCAGTGGATAAAAACATCCAGTAACCACATGAGAAAAGAAAGCAACAAATTCAAGAAGGAAACATTTTTAACAAATGATGTATCAATACTTCTGTGTATAAATCATACTGAAATGAGAACATAAAATGATGTGCTTAAAATATTATGATGGTAACAGAAATTTGTTACCTTATTAATTTTCATCTCAGTTCTAACATTTCCCACACTGACCCATTCTAGCTTTGACTGCAGAGAGCCAAGTTCCAATCTGAAACTTGTATGTAAAAATAGGAGCCAGGGTTTTGTTTTGTTTTAAATACACTTATGGCACCCTTGTGTCACACACTTGAGATTCTCTGGAAGATCAATCTCAGGGAAAGTGAGTTCTGAGATTCTGGAGCAGGTAGGGCTGTGCAAAGCGCTGTTGGGTTGAATCCCTGTAACATTACAAAGCCATACTTCCTCAGAGCAGTATTTCAGTTTTTTAAAAAGCATATTTGTTTTTAAAGCCAGTGATATATTCTTGTTTAGATGCGTAATTGTAAAAACTCCACCACACAATAAGATCACCCACCAGAGACAAGGAGCATTTGCGAACATGGTAAGATAACCTGCAGTTCCTGTGGAGTCAACATCCATGTGTCATTTGATGTGTGAAGGCAGTGGGATCCATCTGCTAGCCTGGTGTCCTTCAGATATTTTGGATGGCTGTTCCCACCATTCCTGCCCTTGGCTATGCTGGCAGAGGTTAATGAGTGTTGATGTTCAGACCACTGGGAAGATACCAGTGGTCTGGGGAAGGGAGAAAACCTCCCATGTTGGTTCTTATTTTTATCTGCATCTGTGTGAGTTCCACAGTATTTTGTTTTTCCAGATGCAGGGCTGGCAAAATAGTTTTTCCTTAAAAGCACTCTAGTACAGTGTTCTCATCCACACAGAAAACTCTCCAAATAGTAAAGAACCAAAACTGCAGAAATGAGATATTGCAGGGGTGCAGAACCTCAGACCCAGAGGACAAATGCTGCCCTCCAGTGTTCCCAGCTGACCATGACCCTTATATCATCCTACCCTTTCCACCAATCCTTTGATGGCTTGTCTGCTTTTGTGCAGTTTTGCTCCCAGTTTGTTGTTTCAGCATGACTCCCGTAGGATTGTGTTAGTAGCAACAAGAGGTTTAAGCTACAATGTGTTGGTTCTTTTGGCAATTTGGCCCTGCCCACTTTGAGCCTTTCTCTGCACTGGAATGTGGCCCTCAAGTGTTTCATGGAAATAGATTTTGGTCCTTCAGCTGAAGGAGGTTCAGCACCCCAGGATAAAGTATCCATCCTGGCACCTAGAAATATGACAGACAAATGAGAATGATAGCAACATAAGTATGAGCAACTGAGGACAAAGGATAGGCATGGAAACGAGGTAAGCTCAGTGGTGGGAGCTGGAAAGCCATGGATCTTCTGCAAAAGCACAGGTGATATCGGGCACGGCTATCCTTCGGTGATTTAGAATCAATCTCTGTCATTTCGACTTTCCAAGCAGCAATTCACAATTAGGTCTGCCTTCTTCTATGGCCTCTCACACCCTGTGTGCTAACAGTTCATGTCTGACTGCCCCTTAAGAGCTTCCACTGCCGTCCTTCCTAAGAGAAAATTCAGTGCAAGCCACAAAGTGGTTGAGCATCAAACACATTTATTTCACTTTTATTGAATACAAGAACAATGAGCACACACGCATACACCACCAAGCACTGAAAGAAGATATGATTGAAAGGGGTGGGAGACAAAATAGGAATGAGGAGGCAGCAGGGAGAGCAGAGGGATGAATGAAAGAATGACAGGCCATTGCAGTTGGTTGGTAAGGTGCTTCTCAAATTAAAAAGAGAATTATGAATATTATTAATCCATGCAGTTGCTGGCCGGTTTTGGATTCAACTTGTGGGCTTTCTTGCAACCAAAGAGTTGCATCTCCCACCCCCTTCAATGGAAAGGCCCCCCAGAAAGAAAGAGTGACCACTATATCAGATGGCTGCAATAGTGATGATGAAAGTGAGAGGAAACCATGACCTTAAAAATTATGCATGGCTTCAACACTACCACAAATAATAAATATTATATATATATTTATATAGTTTTCTATGTATAAGCCACATCTTGCTAGGTGAACAAACATCTAGTATAATGGCTACCCATAAGAGCTGTGGAAGGAATCCAAAGGAACAAGTCTAGTTTAGTTTTCCTCTCATTGCCCAGGGTTAGAGTCTGATCTTGTACTTTGAAGCAGTTCACCTCCACAAATTTGAGTGGCAGACTCACTTATCCCAGTACATACCAGGGTTAAGTGGGATCATACTTTCCATCTAACTGCTCAACAGTGATATTTGAGCTGATTTTGTCTTGAAATCAAAAATGCGAAATTTGAGAGGGGACATTGTCTCCTTGTAAGGCAGACGAAGAAAATGCCTCACATAATGATGCCACCACAATCCCTCTGTATTTTGGTTATTTTTTTAATTAAAAGCATGATGTTTTTGTTTTCAAAAATTATCTGTGGTTGCTGTGTATCTTATTTGTATATGTTTCTTTACTTTTTTGGTTCTGGGGTTGTATGTGGTCTCAAAGAGCAGCAGAAAATGGGGGGCAGGGGGAGTAATCTTTGAAGTTCAGAAGCATACATTTAGATCCATGAGAACTAGACTTTATAGCATAAAATCCATGTTTATGATCTCCATGCTGACTTAGGACACGCCTGCATGCCAGAAGCAGATCCACTTTTAAGGAGCCAAAATAGTGGACAACTGGAACGGCAATGGCTCACTGCTTCCTACAATGGCACTTTATCGTATGGGATTTTTCCATCTTGTCCCAACAGCGGGCCCTTTCTCTGTAAGGTATCTAGATTCTAGCTGCAGGCACTAGTTAGATGTCCTTCTCCAAGTGTCAAACATGCTGAGTGGAGATAAAAGGCAAGCATGGTACAGTGCGTGTTGGCCCTTCTCTAGTATCCTGAGCCACTTGGAAACTGGTTAATTCTGGTTATGTTCCCCCTTACATTTTGTGTTTGCTCTAATTCTTCCTTTCATAAAATGGATGAAAGGAATTAATGAAAAACAGTTAAGTAACACATTGAAGTCCCAGGTTTTCGGTAGCAGAACAGTTTGATTCAATGCCTTCCTCATGTCTGAGCAGTATCTGGCTTCATCTTTTCATTGGTCTGCCCTCTCAAGCTTTACAACTTATTGTCATTTGGATGGATGTACTTTCAAGAAACCATATGTCAATTGTCTGTTAGTAAGCCCTGACCCTAGTCTGTGCATGTGTGGGAATGGATTTTACTTGGAAGGAAGCAGTATTATTTCATCCATGTTCTCCACCTACTGGATACTCTCTGCAGAATCTAGTGTCAACCTGGCAAAATAGAATTATGGACTGTGCAGGGAGCAGGATAGGGATGCCTCCTTGCTCAGCCAGGACATTTTCTCTGAAGAGCTCTCATGCCCTTTTAATACATGGAACTAAAGGTGGCATATTGTGGTCAGTAGGTTTGGGGAGGGGGCACTAGTTTGGAATGAAAAAGTTGCCTTTTTGAAGAACATAGGTCATAATAGCTTCCCTCCAGCTAGACATCTAGGTCTGAGAGATCAAAGACTTCTAGATATGAAAGGCTGTACATGATGAAGCAACCTGACCTCATGTCCCCAGCTGACCTCCAATTCTTGAGCCTAGTGAATGAGGGAGAGATTGTGGACTGGCTTGTTTTAATAACTAACTGTGCTGCAGTAACACTGATCCATTCTACCTTCCATTATTCCCTTCCCATGTTGCTGAATGCTTCCTTTTCACCAACCAACCAACCAACCAACCAATTACAAACACTATTGTGTCACTATACCAGCAGTTTCTCTTGAAAGAGCACCGGCCAACTTAGTGACAAATACCAGCCCCAGAGAGAATTAGTGATTGTTTACCTACTCTGTTTTCATGGGCTATTGGTATGATCTAAGAGTCTTGTAATACATTAAGTATGGTCAAACAAATAATTATAATGTAAAAATGTCATTGTCATACTTATCAGCATTGTTTAATTTGTTTTAATATCATTCCCCACCCTCCCAGTTATATATAATATACATAACTTAAAAGCACATCCATATGAAACCTCTACAGGCTGTACTTTGATCAATGAAAAATCATATACATGTCATTTTGTTTTATGTGAAATCCAGTCTTAATTATCTTCAGCAGAACAAGGGGACTGGATATAAGGAGGGCAGGTTAAAAAAAGGACAGGGGTTGGGAAAAGATGACGCAACAGAAGTAGCATGGAGTGAAGAGAAAGCATGATCACCACACATCCCAAATCAGAAAATAATTAAACAAGAATTATACAAGTGAATGATTTTTGATTCTTTCCTATGTAGGGAATCATGTTGTATTTCTGCTTGTTTTGCTTGTTGATTTCTTGCTTTGTTGCAAAGCATTTTTTGCTTTTCCATTCAGTGTGCAACAAATGAGTTATGTATCCTTTAAATGTAACATGCAGAATGGTGGTTTATTGTATTGTTAATAATATTATTACCATCATGATTTTTTCTTTTAGATCAGTCAAGTCAATTCTTCATTTTTATCTGAAGAAGTGGTTGGTTTTGTTTGTTGCTGATGTTGCTGTTTGTAATTCATCTCCAGCATATAGCAGCAGTGCAAGGATGCATTTTGTTTCCTGTATATATAATATATAATATATTTGCTATTCCTTTTTATTTTTTATTTTTTTTGTCTCTTAACATTATTCTTGCAGCCAGGACGTTCTATGTCTTATTGAGGAATCCAGCATAAAGGCCCCTTCTTTACTTCATAGTTAAAATACAGATGCCAACATCTAAAAGCACGAAGGTCAAGATTCCTGTACAGAGAATGGAAGGAAATAAAGAAATTAGTATGATGTACCTGTTTTATCAAGGGAATCAGCAAGATTGACTCTGGCACATCAATTTTGGAGGGCAGCTTTAACTGCAATAATGTGAACAGCACTTATGTACGATGGCATCTTGGTACACGCAGGTGAAATCAAGAACATCGAGTCCTCAGATTGCTATTTAAAGAACAACTTTTCCATATGAATTTGCACTCAATAGCTTAAGTTCCCTTTGGCAGAGAAGACTCGTTTGACAAATGTGGAACTTCTACATATTGCAGTGGATTTTGGCATGTGTTCTGAGATGCACGCAGTTAGACCAGGACACAAGCCAGGCCTGTGTGTTGTAGCTGTTTCACTCTGTGATGCCTTGCAACCAACATTTGCATGCAACCAGAAATTACAAGACATGGTCAGTAATTATGGGCACATTGTCATCTGGGCAGTTTGTCCACCAGTATAAATCAATCAATCATCCCAAGTAGAAACTTTTGGTACATCATGAAAAAAGGGCTCCTATCAACACTTTGAAAGCTATGGTTTGCACCATTCTGTTGAAAAAAGTTTTTGGTAACAAGCCAGAATAGAAAGAGAAATATAGATGACTTTGCTCACAACTTTGCCATTTGCAACTGTTGAAGCCAAGCAATACTCACTGACATATTGGTGTGGACAATAGATTGGGGCCTTATCTCTTTTGAGAATGGGCATTGCTTCCTAAGCAGAGTTCTGCCTGTTTTAGCAACTATAAAGCATTGACTTTGTGTATTACTTATTCATTGCCCTGTGCTGCTTGACTAGTTCCTATATCTTATGATAGCATCTTCTCACATCTCTACGCACCTGGGGCTTCTTGTCCCTTTCCTCTGGAGATGGGTCTGTTTCTCTATATACTACAGCTTTGGTTACCAGCATGTCAGGGTGCTGCAGTTTTGCCTCCTTGATTGCCAAAGCCAAAGCCTATGGAAATTAAATGCTGTTTAATGCTTGTTCACTTAAGCAGACAACAACATGAAACCATGTGGGAATAAGAAAAAGCTGCATTAATGGACACACATCGTTTAAAAATACCATAGTTTTGCAAGAGGTTTTTCATTCACGTATATAAATGCTGCCATCAAAGTTTTTCAGTATATCTGCATATGCTAATACATGCATATGCATAGACAAATACTAATATGGGGCTTCAGCGAATGGGGCGGCATAAAAATGTTTTAATAAATTAAATAAATAAATAAAAATATGTATATCTCTAGATCAGGACTTGTCTATGGTTTTTGCTGCTTTTAGGTTATTGTGAAACTAGGTTCATATATCTCAAGAGTAACCATTCTGAGGTTTGCTCTAGACAAATAGGTGGAACTGTCATCAGTACTACTATCTTTGTTTCTATCGAGAACTGGAGCAAGCTGCATGAGGAGGGCAAAAGTTAGGGTTTTTGTCTTCTTAGCATTCTGTAAATATATGGATTGAAAGTTTCCTAAGAACTTTGCAAACAGTACTGACAGACTCATTCTGATTTCCTTCACACCTGGTCTTGGTCCACATCTTCATCTCCTGTTATGATGATTCGCTTTTCTATTCGGGTTTCAGAAAAGCCCCCTTTCACAGTCTGGAATGGGAAAGGTATCACACATTCAATATTGAGAAAAAACTTTCAGTATGTAAAATGTTTTGCAAGTTAACTTTTGCTTCACTCAGCCACAGCAAATCTGTGAGATCTATCACAATTACTACCTTTTTAGACTTACACTTTGGAATAAGAAAAAGGAATTGGTCAAGGCCACCCAATATAATGCATAAGCAACTTTGATATAGATAAACTAGAAGGAAATTTTGTGTAATGAATTGGTTCATCATAGCTTTTTCTTAAAGCAAAATATATTAAATCCACCTTTCACTGTCTCTCATGTTAAATAGCCTGCATTAGCATACAATGACCTGATTTGCACATAACAACAAACCATGGGTTGGTCAGGGTCACATGCTCATCCGTTCTGCTTTGTAGTCAGTTTAGCAAACAATCCATGAACAGGCATCCCTGTGATGTCCAAACCCAGAACTCTGGGTTCTGTTAGGGAAATCAATCCAGAATTTTAATCCAACAAGAAAAATAGATTAAAAGTCTTGGCTGTTTATCTCTCAACAACCTTGTGCCATGTTTGGATGTTGCAGCAAACAAAGCAGGAGTTGGATATTCCTGGGCTGTTTGCTAAACTGGATACAGAACAGAAACAACAAGGAAGAAGGCTACTGTTAGGTGTAAGGGGATTACTTCCTAAAGACCTAAAGCAACCTTCCTAAACTAGTGTAAGTCCCACCATCCTTGGCCATGATGAAGATTATGGGAATTACAGTCCAATACACCTGGAAGGTGCCACCTTGAGGAAGGCTACCATGCCCACAGGAGATGCTCTGATATTCAGCTCTTCTGCTCTGATCTTACCTTGGTAACATGAGTAGTTGTAGAAGTGGAGAGGGTTTCTGCAGTGGCACCAAAAAGACTGGTGAAGGCTTCTTTCCCAACAGCACTGCTGGTGATCTACAAAAATACGTGAAGTGCCATCCATGTCAACAGAAAGCCAGTGTCTTTGTTTTGGGTAACAGCTGACCACAGAAAAAATATCCTATTCATGACATTGTTGAGGACTATGCTCTCCTCCAAGGAGTTTAGTGAAAGTAAATGCTTTGTATGTAAGGATGGAAAGGATCAAACAAGTCACAGGGCTATGGAAGCCTTCTTTTTGAAACATTTAATTCACTTCTAGGTAGTGGGTGTAAAACAAGGTAAAAGTCTTAGTATCTGGCACAAGCATGGGTCCCTATGCATTCCAGTACTGCATTTGCTTGCTTGTTTGCTTATATATTTGTATCACACTCTCTCTAGTATCCAAAGCAACTAACAACCTCTTAGAACACATGCAATTAGAGCAGTTGTATTAAAATACAGAATCATGATCTGTGTTCAAGTTTACTGTGCCAAATTAATTATCTGGCTACATTAACTTGCTCCATTTTCTTGTAATCCTGTCTGAAGAGTTAAAACACAGCAATCTTCTGAAAGACCAGCAGAACAAGCTCTACTGGGCTTTTCTGTGTAAGGTGTTGCCTAATGTTGGGGTCAAAATAGAGAAGGCTCTGCACTGTCTCACTTGAAAGGATAATTTTTCTTACAGAAATTAAAGCAGCTAACTTAAAATGGGTCTATGAAGATGTCATCTTCCACGATTTCTGCAAAAAGCCACATTCAGGTAAACTGAGGTCCTAATCTTCTTGGATCAAATGGCACATTAACTCACAATCACAACAGAAAGTACATACTTCCTGGCGGCCCACAGGCAGAAAAGTTTAATTATATCATCCTACATATAGCTGCTAAGTAGGTGCATAAATTGCATTATAAGGGCAGGTGGTACTAATAGCTTGCTACTAGTATATGTATGGTTAAGTGTGAATGTTTGTGTGCTTCTTGAGGCTGACAACTGTCAATAAGGACTACTATAATAGGTTTAATCGTCTTCCATTCATTAGAAAACAAAGCAAAACAGTTTCATATGTGTGAAATCATTCTGCCCGGTATAAGGATTTATACCACTGTGGCAGGCTTATGGTGCCCTCCAGCCAACTAGAGACAGTATACAAATTCCAGTGTTGTTCAAACCCCACTGAACTTTGTTCTTCAATTTCCAATTCTGGAAAGAGGATGGGAAGTTGCTTTAAGAAATGGTGGCACTGTGGGTGTTTTTTGCAGAGCGGTTGGACATTATGTGTTTACCAATGCTCCTAGGAGATCTATTCCTCTGGGGCCCAGAAATATATGATCACTTACTGGAGAAATGGAACGAAGTTCTGTTGTGCCCTTTCCAGGCTTGGTGCTATGATCCTGGAAAACAGGTTTTAAAGCAGAGTTAGCATATATAAAGATAATCAAGAGACAAGGGAAAACAGCAATCAAGAAACATCTTAGCTGAAACAACCTTCCTCTAACTCTGTCACACACGTGAACTTGTGCTTCATAATGATCTACTCCTACTAATAAATGAGAGGGTTTCTCAGTCGCTGGCATTCAGGGCTTGTTTGTGTCACTGCTTAATGTCACTCAGAATATCTGTGTTGCTTCCACACTCCCAGAGTTTTCTGCACCTGATATGTGGCTTTCACTCTTGCCAAATTACAAGCAAACCCAGTGGTTAAACGCTTGTACCCTACCTTTCAGGTTTTAAAAGGGGATTAACAAAATATATACGGTAGATAAATGAAAAACAACATAGTATATTGTAAAGCCTATCGTTATAAATTATACAAAGTACAAAAACTAAAAAGCAAATAAAAGCTCCAAGCAAATCAAGACTTGGTGCCTTGAAGGTGGGCACCCACAAGGCTCCAATCACAATTTGCCCATGCTTAGCAGGTGGGAAGATCAGAAGCAGAGCCTCTGAAGATGACTCTGGCTCTCAACAAAGAGCTAAGTTCACATAGGAGCAAGAAGTCTCAGTGGATTACCTTGTGCCAAAGAAGAGCTCCTGCAGTTTATATTGAAGTAGCATTCCTGCTAAGTAGGATTTCTCTGCTACCCTCACAGATAATTGAACCTTATCTGTAAATGTCCACCTGCCCACACCTGTAGTTCTAAACCTCCACAATAATCTATTGTCCATGCCCCCACACATTTATGCAAGTACTCATGCCCACAGGGTGGTTTCTATTGCTATACATATCACATTTTAGGGTTGGAACTGCAGAGCTGGAAGACCTTTGAAGACCAACCTACATAAATTTCCTGGCATGATGTGGGGTCTTTCATGCCAGCCCACTGACATCACACACACCTTGCCTACAGGTGAGCCACATACCTGAGCTATGCAACATCGCTTTGATACTTTAGGCATGTAGGTGCCAATTAAAGATATAATGAGTAACTGCTGCTTCTTGGTAATATGCGAACTAATTACAAAATCTTTACTCCCTGTGCCCAAAATGAATAAGCACACAGAGAAGCATTTTTATATAAACTTCTGCCTAATTTACACATTTCTCACAAAAATTCTTTTATATAACAGTATTTGGAGGAGTACAAATATGCAAATTTGCATTTTTGTTTGTACTTTTCCTTAGTATATGATTTATGTGTGTTTTTTACTTGGAAATTATATAGCAAAATCCAAGGAAGTAGAACTATTGAAGGACAACTGGATTCACATTTGGATATCAGCTTGAGATGTATAAAATTGGTAAATTTTCATTAATGCACAAACTAGTGAAATTCTCCCCCATGTCTAGTTCTGGGTCCCCACGGAATCTTTCCATGATATATACATGGTAGAAAAAAATACAGATGCCACCAAATGTTGAAATTAGCTCACTCATTGGTTGAATGTTGCCCATTAAAATATCATCCTTTTAAGGCTGGCAAAGCTGGTAAATCAGCTACAGATGATGAAAGGTGTTCCTAGGCACCAAATCCACCTAGAATTCCAGTGAAAATTCAGAGTCCAGGAGCACTCCCAAGCTACAGATCTTATCCTTTAGCAGGAGTGCGACCCTGTCAAGGCCAGGTGTGATGGCACCATCTGAACAGAAGATCCCAACCAACAGTCTCTCCATCTTATCTGCATTAATCTTGTAACCTGCTCAGGGAGCATTCTGGCTAATTGTACAAGATATAAGTCAAATGAATAAAGATGTTGCTAGTCGGGAAGTCTTGTCTGACCCATCGCGACCCCATGGGCAACATTCCTCCAGGCCTTCCTGTCCTCCACCATCCCCTGGAGTCCACTTAAGCTCACACCGACTGCTTCAGTGACGCCATTTAGCCACCTCATTCTCTGCCATCCCCTTCTTCTTTTGCCTTCAATTGTTCCCAGCATTAGACTCTTCTCCAGGGAGTCCTTCCTTCTCATTAGATGGCCAAAATATGTGAGTTTCATCTTCAAGATCTGGCCTTCTAAAGAGCAGTCAGGGTTGATCTCCTCTAGGACTGACCGGTTTGATCACCTTGTAGTCCAAGGGACTCACAGGAGTCTTCTCCTGCACCACAATTCAAAGGCCTTGATTCTTCGGCACTCAGCCTTCCTTATGGTCCAACTTTCACAGCCATACATTGCAACTGGGAAAACCATAGCCTTGACTATACGCAATTTTGTTGGCAGGGTGACGTCTCTGCTTTTTAGTATGCTGTCTAGATTTGCCATAGCTTTCCTCCCCAGGAGCAAGCGTCTTTTAATTTCTTGGCTGCAGTCACCGTCTGTGGAGCCCAGGAAAATAAAATCTGTCACTACCTCCATTTCTTCCCCATCTATTTCCCAGGAAGTGATAGGACCGGATGCCATGACCTTAGTTTTCTTAATGTTGAGTTTCAAGCCAACTTTGGCACTCTCCTCCTCCACCTGCATCAAGCTCTTTAGTTCCTCTTCACTTTCTGCCATTAGAGTGGTATCATCTGCATATCTGAAATTGTTGGTATTTCTCCCTGCAATCTTAATTCTAACTTATGATTCATCTAGCCCTGCCTTTCTCATGATGTGCTCTGTATGTAAGTTAAATAGGCAAGGCGACAGTATACAGCCTTGCCAAACTCCTTTCTCAATTTTGAACCAATCAGTGGTTCCGTGTCCAGTTCTCTCTGTTGTTTCTTGACCCGCATATAGGTTTTCTCAAGAGACAGGTAAGATGGTCTGGTACTCCCATCTCTTTAAGAACTCTTGTTGGGATCCACACAATCAAAGGCTTTAGCACAGTCAATGAAGCAGATGTTTTTCTCGAACTCCCTAGCTTTCTCCATGATCCAGTGTATGTGGGCAATTTGTTCTCTGGTTCTTCTGCCTCTTCGAAATCCTGCCTGTACTTCTGGTAGTTCTCGGTCCACATACAGCTGCAGCCTAGCTTGCAGGATTTTGAGCATAACTTTGCTAGCATGTGAAATGAGTGCAATGGTGTGGTAGTTTGAAAGTTCTTTGGCATTGCCCTTCTTTGGAATTGGAATGTAAACTAAACTGACCTCTTCCAATCCTGTGGCCACTGTTGAGTTTTCCAAATTTGCTGGCATATTGAGTGTAGCACTTTTACTGCATCGTCTTTTAGGATTTTGAATAGCTCAGCTGGAATACTGTCACCTCCACTAGCTTTGTTGTTGCTCAGACCTCCTAAGGCCCATTTGACTTCACATTCCAGATATCCTGGAATGTGAAGTCAAATGGGCCTTAGGAAGTCTGAG